GCTATTTCTAGTAACTTGGCCAGAGGACACATCGTTTGCTCTCTGAGGCGGCACCTCCACGGTGTGATCCATAGCGGATAGGGGAGCAGGGCAGAGGGGTAAATGGCACGGGACCCCAGCTTCTCGGTGTTTGTCGGAGAAATATGGCCCGGGCCCTTCCAGACTTTGAGGCAGCTGTTGAAAGCGAAGAGACCCAGCGAGGAGATGATGAAGCTGGGTCCCGTGCCATTTACCCCTCTGCCCTGCTCCCCTATCCGCTATGGATCACACCGTGGAGGTGCCGCCTCAGAGAGCAAACGATGTGTCCTCTGGCCAAGTTACTAGAAATAGCACGTCCAGAACAAGGGAGGTGACCTTCCCACTCAGTTCTGCTGCTCAGGTCACACTTTTAACCGAGTGACACCCCGGAGGCCCGCCCAGCAGGACCAGTGTCCGGTGGAGCAGACGGGCGGGGGCGGAGGGCGGCGGCTGCTCGGCGGACCGCGGCTGCGGCTGCGTAACCACGTCCGTGGAAACACCTCGCGTGGGAAAGGCCCTCGCCCGGCTGCTCAGAGGTCAGCGGTTCACCCTGCGATCACGGCCGACCCCGTGTCCCAGGGAAAGATCAAAGCCCAAAGCGGCACTGCTTCTGCGCGGCTGTGACGTGGGGAGACTGGGCGTCCCGCCGCCGTTAGCCTCAGTCCGGGTCCCAGCTAACGTGGTGCTGCGGGGCCGACAGGGTGCCATGCGGAGAGGTGAGGGGTCTTTGCCAGGCCCGCAGGCTCCCCCTGGTGGCCGCCCGGGTTCCTTCAGCGGAGGGAAGGGCTTGTTCGCATTCTGCAGGCAGGTGGGTGGGCGGCTAGGGTTTGGGCCGGCGGCTCCGGAGTGATGGATGGGCCCGCTGTAAATTTGAGAAATAAATCAGCTTGGCAGGGAGATTCAAAGCGCCTGTCAGGCAGCAGCATTTTTAACAGCCGCAGAATTCCCTCGTCCTTCCCGTTTGTCAGCATCGGGCTGTGCGGGCCTGAGAGCCGGGCGGGCAGGGGGACGGCAGCGGCTCCTCCCTCCGGTGCTTCTCACTTTTCTGTGGTCCCAGCGCTTCCAGCACCAGCACCGGACGGTGCGGACGGCCTCATGGGTGGATGACCTGCGTGTTCTGCCGGCGCTCTGGCTTAACCACGCGGTCACCGTCTCTGCATTCAGATTCCAGGACGCTGGGGTGAGCGGAAGCCGGCCGGCCGGAGCGCCCAGGGTTTGGATTTCTGGGGCCAGGCCCTGGGTAAAGGCTTCCAGAAGAGCCCGGACAGGACAGCTTCCCCGCGTCCAGATGTCCCGCCCCAGCCCTCTCTGGTGCAGAGACACGCAGGCAGTGTCTCCACGGGGTCCCTTCGTCCCGGTGCTGGTGAGGCAGGCGGGTCAGATCAGATGGGACCAAGCCCCGCCCCGAGGCAGAGCAGCCAGGGGCAAACGGCTTCGCCTCTCTGACCCTCTGTCTCTTCTTCTGTAGACGGGGATGCAGAGTTCCAGGCGGGTACGCACAGGGCTTTCAGAGTTATTCGGGGAGAGGAGGCCTCAAGCGCTCAGCTTGCTGTCTGACCAGTGATAGGAACAATGACACGTCGCTGCCTCTTCGGTTCACAGCGGGCTCTCCTGCCGTCAGCCGCTCCCGGCAGGCGCTGCGTGGCGGCATGAGGCTCTGGGCAGGGCGGTGGCAGAACCCTGGGCATCCAGAATCTGCCAGGAGCACCAGCTGCTGCCCAGCTCTCGGCCCCCCCCCCCCCCCCCGCCCTCCCTGGCTCATCATAACGGACAGCCCTGGGCCAATTAGGAGCAGCCGCAATTAAGATGTGCCCAGGGCATGTGAGCATTTGCAAACACTTGTTAAAACGCATCAATAATTAAGCGCCTCTTTAATCGTTCCATGTCTGGCCTCCGGACATATCTGTTTATAAACCGTGGGTCCCAGCATCCTTTGGGGCCACGGCCTCTGGGAATGGAAATTGAAAATTCTTCCCCGACTGGAATCCTGAGGTTTGACGGGGACACGGTCGGGAGGGGGCACGGGCTTTTAACATCTCTGTGGGGTGGGTGACGGTATCCATGGGTTTCTTTACTCACTTATCGGACCAAATCTCCCCAAACTCCTCGTAGTCCAGTGCGGTGGGGTTTGGTGTTAAACACGCTTTCAAAGTACAGAAATAAACACAATCGCGGCTTGTCAAAGGTGATCATTGGCGAATGGGCCTTGGCCCCATAACTTCACAGTGGGGGGGTGCGGGTGGGGGTAGGGTGGGGGTAAAGGTGCGGGGGGGCGAGGGGGTAGGGGCGCGGGTGATTTTTAACCGCGCCGCCCGCATCTGCTATCCGGCGGAGGGGCGTGCGGGCCTGTCTCAGTAAAAGCTTTTCCAACAGCCATTTAACCTCCATTTGCGGAGAAATAAAGTGAAATTGATGCTGATTCGGGCCCGCTTTGGGGGCCGTTTTTGTTCCATAAAAGCCCGTTTGCTTGCCATTTGCCGAGCGGCCCTGTCACTTCCGGGAGGGCGGCCGCTGATGAAGATAAAGCTTTATGGCCGAGGGGTTTGCCGCTAACAGCAACCTAATGCAGCATTTTCATTTCCGTGCAATTAATGTTAACGTCCGCCACGGAAATTGTCATTAAATACCATTTTAAAATCCATTCAATTTGCATACGCAAAGCCCATTTGCCATCCAGGGGGATCTGGCCGGCACTCCATCAGGCCTGCGCGGGGACGCGGCCGCTGGGGTCCGCAGCGATTTAAGGTGTCTGTGCTGAAGGCGGAGCTTAATGGACGCCCTTTCTGAGCCCCGAGATGAGGCTCTGCCATTGCACACGGGAAATGGGGCTGCACCTCAGTCCCAAAGAGGCGGACGAGCGAGCACTGGACGGGGAGTCCTGCCTGGCTGCAGAGCCGGCTCCCGTCTGGCCACAGGCCTTCGGAGGCACCTCGGTGTCCACGCTCACCGTGGAGGTCCCGGCTTTAGGAGGGCGCCACCACCGGCTGCCACCTGGAGGCGCCGAGGACGCGGTGGGAAGTGAAAAGGCAGACGCGGCTGGTGCCAGGCGGGCGTGGTGCCAGGCCAGCAGCTCAGTTGCCGCCTGCAGAGGCAGGAAGCAGCCTGGGGGCTGCGGGCGGCGGGTTCCGGGGAGGGGATTCAGTGGGACAGGGTCCCAGGTTTGCAGGACGAATTCTGTGGACGGATGGCGGTGGTGGCTCAACAAAGTGAATGCACTTGAACGCCACGGAATTGTGCGCTTAGAAATGGTAAATCCTGTGTCTGCTTTACCCGGTGGGAGAGATTTGAAAACAAACACACAAACACACACACAAAGCAGATTGCGAACGCCCTTGATTGTGGGCACAGCCGGCCGGCCACGCAGAGGCCGAGCACCGGCTCTCAGGCACAGGTGCCGGGCTCGGGGCTGCGAGCCGCCAGGCGCTGGGCTGAGGGGCCCGGTGTCTGTGCCAAGCGCAGGTGTCAGGGCTTTGGGCTGACGGAGGGCTAATCCGGGGAAGCATGGGGCAGCGGCCGGCTGTGGGGGCGCCTGCTGATGTCGCCCGCTACTGGGCTCTGTCCTCCCCCTCTGGGGACAGAACCCCCATCCTACGCTTCCTCATCAGGAGCCCCTGTGGATTGTGGGACTGATTCCAACCAAATCTCCTCCAAGGAAGGGGGAAGGGGTCAGGCCTGGCCAATCAGAGCATCAGAATCTGCTGGCCTCGGCCATTGGCTCAGAGGCAGACAGGTGACCCAGGGCTGGCCAATCAGTGTATCTCACAAACCTAACGGGATAGACTTGATCCGAAGGTGGACCAAGGAATCTTAATCTGAAGGCTTCTGTAACTCCACACACACACACACACACACACACACACACCGGGCACTGAGGGAACAGGATGGGGCTGAGCCTGGCTCTTCTGTCCCCGGAGGAAGATGCTTGTCAGAGAACAGAGCCCCAAGTCAGGCCCGGAGAGACACAGCGAATACTGCAGTTGCCCAGCACCTAGATCCGGCTACGCCTGAAGCTCTACCTCCAGCAGGTGAGCCAACGAATTTCCCTTTAAAAATATCGAGGCCGTTTGAGGGAATGGATGAGATGCAACCCCTTCTACTTTCACTGAACCTCATGCCCGTCAGTCAGGGCTGGGCCCGGGCCCCAGGTAGGCCTCTGATCCGTCACTGTGACAAGGTGTGCAAAGTGCATGGATTGCCAGACCCGGTCACCTGCCCCTCCCTGGAGCCAGGAGTCTTACGCCACCGAAGGCCCTAATAGTCACTGCCAAGCCCCAACCACAGACGGACGGAGCAGGGCCAGCCTCACCGGGACAGGATCCCAAAGGTCATGTTCTCGGGGACGGAGGGGGGGCGGAGGGGGATAGAGGGGGATGGAGAGGGACGGAGGGGGATGGAGGGGGGACGGCGGGGGGGGACGGCGGGGGATAGAGGGGACGGAGGGGGGACGGGGAAGACAGGGGGGACAGAGGGGGGATGGAGAGGGACGGAGGGGGGACGGCGGGGGACGGAGGGGGACGGGGGGGACGGCAGGGGACAGAGGGGGACAGGGAAGACGGGGGGGACTGAGGGGGACGGAGGGGGGACGGAGGGGGACGGAGGGGGGACGAGGAAGACGGGGACGGAGGGGGGACGCAGGGGGACTGGGGGTGACGGAGGGGGACGCAGGGGGACGGAGAGGGACGGAGGGGGGACACAGGGGGGATGCAGGGGGGACGGGGGGATGGCGGGAGATGACGGGGGACGGAGAGGGACGGAGGGGGGACACAGGGGGGACGCAGGGGGGACGGGGGGATGGCGGGAGATGACGGGGGACGGAGAGGGACGGAGGGGGGACGCAGGGGGGACGCAGGGGGGACGGGGGGATGGCGGGGGATGACGGGGGATGGAGAGGGACGGAGGGGGGACGCAGGGGGGACGCAGGGGGGACGGGGGGATGGCGGGGGATGACGGGGGATGGAGAGGGACGGCGCGGGCAGCCTCACCGGGATGGGATCCCGAAGGTCATGTTGGCGGGGACGGAGGGCGGCTCCCGCTTGAACCGCCGCTGGTCCTCACTCGTGACGCGCAGGTCGTTGAGCTGCTGGTACAGCAGCGTCTCCCGCGCGGTGACCAGGCCGGCCTTCACGGCGCCGCGGTTCATGGCGATGTAGTCCCGCCTCAGCTCCTCGTGGCAGGTGGGCTGCGGCTTATACACGTTCCAGTGTCCGATGGCTGGGCGGGACAGGTCACGGCCGAGGTCAGCGGGCAGCACGGCCGTTCGGTCACCGGAGCTGCTGGCCTCTGCTTGCTCCGGAGGCTGTGTGTGTGTGAGTGTGTGTGTGAGTGTGTGAGTGTGTGAGTGTGTGTGTGAGTGTGTGTGTGTGTGAGTGTGTGTGTGAGTGTGTGAGTGTGTGAGTGTGTGAGTGTGTGTGTGTGTGAGTGTGTGTGTGAGAGTGTGTGTGTGAGTGTGTGAGTGTGTGTGTGTGTGAGTGTGTGTGTGTGTGTGAGTGTGTGAGTGTGTGTGAGTGTGTGTGTGTGTGAGTGTGTGTGTGTGTGTGTGTGTGTGTGAGTGTGTGTGAGTGTGTGTGTGTGTGTGTGTGTGTGAGTGTGTGTGTGTGTGTGTGTGAGTGTGTGTGAGTGTGTGTGTGTGTGTGTGTGTGTGTGTGAGTGTGTGTGAGTGTGTGTGTGTGTGTGTGTGTGTGTGTGCGCGGGGGGGCGGGGGGGGAGGCCCTGAGATCCCAGCGGGCGGGGAGCACCGGCTGGTGGTTAAGCCTGGCTGAGCTCCTTCCCAGCTCCCTGCTTGGCCCTTCGCCACGCCACGCCCAGACCATGGTCACCAGATCGAGGCTGCTGGTCTGGCCCAACTCACTTCCCACAGTGTCCGAGGGAGAGAGCTCCAGCGCTGACGCGCTCTCACCTTCGGGGGCCCCTCCCTCAGCCCCCCATGTGCTCTCACCTTCGGGGGCCCCTCCCTCAGCCCCCCATGCGCTCTCACCTTTGGGGACCCCTCCGTCCAGCCCCCCATGTGCTCTCACCTCCGGGGACCCCTCCCTCAGCCCCCCATGTGCTCTCACCTTTGGGGACCCCTCCGTCCAGCCCCCCATGTGTTCTCACCTTCGGAGACCCCTCCCTCAGCCCCCCATGTGCTCTCACCTTCAGGGACCCCTCCGTCCAGCCCCCCATGTGCTCTCACCTTCGGGGGCCCCTCCCTCAGCCCCCCATGTGCTCTCACCTTCGGGGACCCCTCCCTCAGCCCGACATGTGCTCTCACCTCCGGGGACCCCTCCCTCAGCCCCCCATGTGCTCTCACCTTCGGGACCCCTCTGTCCAGCCCCCCATGTGCTCTCACCTTCGGGGACCCCTCCCTCAGCCCCCCATGTGCTCTCACCTTCGGGGACCCCTCCGTCCAGCCCCCCATGTGCTCTCACCTTCGGGGACCCCTCCCTCAGCCCCCCATGTGCTCTCACCTTCGGGGACCCCTCAGCCCCCCATGTGCTCTCACCTTCGGGGACCCCTCCGTCCAGCCCCCATGTGCTCTCACCTTCGGGGACCCCTCCCTCAGCCCCCCATGTGCTCTCACCTTCGGGGACCCCTCAGCCCCCCATGTGCTCTCACCTTCGGGGACCCCTCCGTCCAGCCCCCCATGTGCTCTCACCTTCGGGGACCCCTCCGTCCAGCCCGCGGACGTAGAGGCCGTAGTTGAAATCAAGGCCGGGGAGGCTGACGTTCCGCTCCCGGGGCTTCCCCAGCTCAGCCTGTGGGAGCACAGAGCGGGGGAGGCCGGGCTCGGACCAGCGGCCTAATGAGGTCCCCCACCCCGAGTCACCGGGGCCCGCCTGCCCCGCCGTGGCAGCCGCCAGGGCCCGGGCGGGCGCAGTCCCTGTGAGAGCGGCTGCGCTTGAGAGCCTGCAGCTGAGACGCCCAGGAGCCCCCGTGGAGGACGCGTCCTTCCCCCCGTGACACGCCTGTCACCATGGGCGCTGGGCTGGCCACCTCCCCCCTCCCTGGGTCTCGGGGAACCCCCCCCGGAGCCCCCGGGGTGTGTGGGAAAGACATTCCCCTGTGCTCACTCAGCCACACTGCCCTCAAGGCACCGTGTCTGGCCTGGGCCCGGCCTCCTGCCCCTGCAGCGCCCGGGCCAGGGGCCCTGTCCTCGCTCAGAGCGCCGTCGGGGCCCTGCCGGCCCCGGGCCCCGAGACAGGATTCGGGCCTCAGGCTCCCTCCCTGGCCTCCCGCTTTCTCCTCCAGCTCATCCGGTCCCACCTCGCTGGCTCCCGGGGCCTGAGCGCCTGGAGGGAGGTGATCGGGGACCGCGTGGCTCACCCTGGAACTCATGCCTCCCTGGAGCTGGCAGTCCGGGCCCTGCACCCTCCAACCCACCCGTCCCCACAGCTCCTCCTCCCAGACTCCCCCACACGCGCGGTTTAGGGGGGCTAGCCCACTCCCCTCCCTGAGGCTCCCGGAGTGCCCTGTGCTCCTGCCCACCCTCTGCCGTCCTCATTCTTCAGCTCCTGCACCCCCTGAACTCACAGTGGCTGCTCCCTCCCGTGGCCCCGGTAACTGTCCATCTGGGGCTCAGAGCCGAAGGGACCTGAACCCCTGTGCACAACCTGCGAAGGGGCTGAGCCCTGGGCTGTAGCTTTAAGGGACAGTTGTGTGTTGTGTGAGTGATAATCACAGCAAAGCGGTGACAGTCAGGGAGTGTGAGCAGGTCACAGAGTGTGCCCACCAGTCTAATGTCCGTCTCCCTGGCAGACGGTGAGCTCAATCTTCATTTACTTACTTTAAGGTTCATTAAAAACACTTTTTTTTTTAATAGGCATTAATTTTTAGAGGTTTTAGGTTCACAGCATCACTCAGCAGCAGGAACGGAGGCTCCCATCGCCTGCCCTGATGGTCTTTGTTTTCACCCTCCTTTCCCGGCTCAGCACAGGCGATGCTAGGACATAGGAGGGTGAATGAATGAATAAGTGAATGAATGAGTGAAAGGCCTGCTTGGAAGCTGTCAGTTCTGCTCCCTATGGAACCTGCTAGGTGTCTCCCTCTTCCTTCCCCTCTGACCCTAGCCCTGACCTTGCTAGAGCACCCTGGAGTCCGGCCTTCCAGGCAGTGCCAGGTGCCCGGTGCCCGGTGCCCGGGCCTCTGCGAGCTGGTTTGTTTGAATTCCTCCCACGCTGCAGACTCCCTCTGAGCTGCGGACGGAGCTCTGGCTCTCGTTTGTTTATGAAAATGATCCGGCCTCTCCGGTGACTGCCGGGAAGTTAATTAAAATGTGACATCTACGGGCGAGGCCCCCCTCTGGCAGGTGCAGGTGGGCAGGCGTCCAGCTGGCAGAGGATCCACAGACAGGCTGGCTGCCGCTCGGGCGGGCAGAGGGGTGGGGAAGAGGCCTCACGCTCCACGTTCTTTTTCTGGGAACCAACAGCTGCCGACGCGCACCAAAGCCTCCGGCTGTGAAGATCATCCCATGGGAGCGCACTCAGCTTTTCATTCCACAAACATTTATTTTCCGCCTCCTCCGCGCCAAGCCTGTGCCCGGAGTGGGACGGAAACAAAGAAGAGGCGTAGCCCCCGCCCCCGTGAAATTCATCTTCTTGCAAGGAGGACGTGGCCCTAGAGTGAGATTTTTGTCCATCATATGTAAAGAGCTGTTACAAATCAATAAGAAAAAGACAGCAGATCCTATAGAAAAATGGGCAAAAGACTTGAATAAGCACAACATTAAGAGGATGTCCAAGTGGCCAAGACCCACGGGTGAAGGTGCTCAGCCTCAGTGCTGTGGGTGAGGGTGGGGAGCACCTGGTGCGCTCACCCCCGTGGTGGGCATGTGAACTGGTGTGGCCACCGTGGGAAACGGTGGAGCTGCGTCTACTAAAGCTAAATGGATCCAACCTGATAACACCCCCCTGGCTCCCAGCAGAAACCAGTGCCCCGTCCATCCAAAGTTCTGTCTGGGAATGCGCACAGCACTGTGATATGTGACGGCCACACCAGCAACAGCCCTAAACGCGGTCCCATAGTGACGTGTTTATCCCATAGAGTGCCCCATAGCATGGCTCCTAATTGGGGTGATTGTGCCCCCTACCCCAGAGGTCATCCAATCGTGTCCGGGCACATTTGGGGTTGGGAGGGACTGCTCCCCTCCAGCGGGGGCGGGGCCAGGGCGGCTGCTAAACATCTCACGGCCCACGTCCAGCCCCGCCCCGGTGCGTGCCCAGAGTGCCGCGGCTGAGCAGCACGCGCCTCCCCGGAGAGAGGGCACACTGTGCGCACCCACGGGGTCCTCACACACAGTGCCAGTGGGGGAAGCTGCCCGGGGGTTCAAGTGCAGCATGGCTCTCTGGGGAGGAGCCGGGCCTGGGGCCCCCGGGGCGGGGCCGCTTCGGAGGCTGAGGGGCGCTGGCCTGTGGCCTCCTGACCCTAGGCGGGCGCCCTTCCCGCCCGTCACCTGGACAGCGGTCACACATCCGACGGGCAGTGGCCGAACGGGAGACCCACCTTCAGACAAGGCTGCCTGCACACAAGGACAGACAAACCGCAGCTCGGACAAACCAACTCTGCCCCCAGAGGGTTCTCCGGGCGGTTCTGAGCGGAGGGGGTGGAGGGTGGCATCTGGAAGTTCCTCTCCTCTCCTCTGACCTTTCTGACCTTTCCAGACCGGTCAGAGGTGTCGGGAGTAGACAGAGCTGGTGAGAAGCAGGCTCAGCTGCTGGCGGGTCTGCTCCGTGGTGGGCGGGGCTAAGGAGATTGCTGTGGCTTCAGAAAACATCATGGGGTTCCCCTGGGCGCTCGGACACCACAGCTCATTGCTCTCCCACAGCGCAGTGCTCCCCACCGCAGCCCTCACAGCAGCTGTCTGAGCACGCCGTCCCCCAGGACGGATGGGGACACAGAGGCTCCGAGAGGCCGCAGGCCGATGCCCTTCAGCCCCCGCTCCCCTGTCTGTGGCCGAGCTCTCAGGCACCGCGGGCAAACCCTCCGGGGCTTGGAGCGGCCTTCCCAGGTACGGTGGGTGTGAGAGCCGGGCCCCCCCAGCCGGCCCCTGTCACGGGCTGTGAGCCTCCAGAGCTGAACGTGCAGCAAAGTCCCGGCTCTGGGTCCGACCACCCGCCTCCTCCGCAGCTTCCACCCTGCCTCCCCGAGCCTCCTCTGTCACGGGCCTGGCTGGACGCAGCCCTGGGTGACAGCTGTCCCCACCAGCAGACAGCTTCATTAAGCCTCATTAAGATGTCATCCCTGCGCCTGGCTCCCCGGCTCTGCGCTCTAATTAAAACCATCGCTGTCCGCGTCCCGGGGGGCCTGGGATCTCCGGGCTCCTTCTGCACGGAGCTGCCTCCGGTCCCCGGCGGGAAGCCAGGCCCGGGAGGACCCGGCCCGGACATCCGCGATGGGAACCGGGACCCGGCCCGGAAGTCCACTCAGAGCAGCTGGTGGCCGCGTGACCAGCGTGGGGGCCACGGGGGCTGCCTCGTCCGCCGTCACCCGCGGCCCCAGAAGGCGGGCCCCTGGCCCTGAGCCTCGCCAAGGCCCATTTTCCCAGGGACAGCTTCAAAGCAGATGCCCAGGCCTTGCGACTCCAGTCTAACTCTCTCACACTCGCTGTGCTGTGAACGCTAACCGGGCCCCGAGTGCCACCCAAGAGGCGGGCGTGAATCACGCCGGGAGGCTCTGTCCCTGAGGCCAGGGCAGCTCCGAAGCCGGGGCTCTCTGGGGCCTGGGGGGCGCTCCACGCCTGCGTTCTGGACCCGCCTCCAGGCAGGAACCCCACTTCCCGGCAGCTCCCTGACCCCAGGCCAGCGTCCGAAGGAAAGGAGTGCTTGTTCCACACGGAGAAGCTGCCCTCTCCCTGCTTCCCGTCCTGGCGTCTGGGGAGCCCGGATACGGCAGTTATTAAATATCCTGTCCCCGCCCGCGGACGCACACACCGCCCTGGCGCGGAGGGTAGTTCATTATCGCACCACAACGTGAGATCCTCGCATGAGAAGCACAATATAAATGCAAATTGTGGCCGTGATTAGCATAGAGGGTGTTTATTTATCTCCATAACAAGAGCCGCCCATAAACAACCCTGGGAGACAAGGTGCCGGATGCCTCACAGGCACCCCGGCTCCGGGCCGGGCCCTGAGCGTGAGCACTGGGCAGCAGGGAGCACGGAATGCCACGAAAGCCACAAGTGAGGAGACCACACCCACGTGCGATCCAGTAAAACAATGTCAAGTGGGAAAAGCCCAGCGGGATTTAGGTTTTACAGAGACCACGGCGGCAGCCACGTGAGAAAATCCACTAAACACACGGGAAGGAACCACACCAGCTGCCTGCGAGGGCCGGAGGTCAGAGATGGCGGCCGTTAGGGGCGGGATTTTACTCACTTTAACAGGCAAAAGGCAGGGTTAGGCCGTAGCTTCTGGGCTATATATACCTGCCAAGGTCAGAGTTCAGGGTCTCCCGCCCTGTGGGTGTAACTGCTGTGAATTTGTAACGGGGCCGAGTGGGGGAACCCAGGCCGAGGGGAGGATGGGGAGCCAGCATGTGACCGTGTCACACAGGACGGAGTCCCAGCTCTGCCCCTTTCCACGTGACCCTGGGCAAGTCGCTTAATTTTTTTAAAAATATTTTATTGGCTTCAGAGAGGAAGGGAGAGGGAGAGATGGAAACATCAATGATGCGAGAGTCACGGATCGGCTGCCTCCTGCACGCCCCCCACTGGGGATGGAGCCCGCAACCTGGGCCTGTGCCCTGACCGGGAATCAAACCC